AAGCCACTGTTTCTCTCCACTTGGTGATCATTGTGATCAATCAAATGAGTCAAAATAGAACTTCTTATAGATTTTATTTGGCCTTTTCCGAACCATGAAGGAAGAGGCATAATAATAAATTTGTTAAGCTGCCTAGTTGTTCACCCTATATAGCTTTCTCCGCAGGAACAACTAAATTTATAGATAGACAGACATTTCACAGCTAGGCAGCTTGTCTTTCACTTTAGAAATCCTAACTGGGTGGCTAGTAAGTGACACACAAAGAGTGGTGGCGGTATAAGTCCGTTAATATAATCATCGTTATTAATGACGTTCGAAACATTTATCTTATTATTATTTGATCCAAAAAATCAATGAGTTTACAATCAACATTTGTACGCCACTCTAAAGGTCACACATGAACAGTGATGTATTAGAATGGACTTAATGAACCACTGAACAGTTACGTAATCACAAAAGTTTTTAAACTTTTACAAGTAAGGTTACATTAAAGAAATTATTAGATAAAAAGGAAGAGACGGCCTAATCAATTGATCGCCTTTTCTGGATTTTGTAGGGATTATGACTAGCTTTCATTGTGGATAATGTTATCTCTATAAACCCATAAAAATCTGAATATCAATTTCCCATTGAATAGTGGCTAAAGTATGAAAGTCGTGAACGTCCAATCAAAAATCATGATCGGATGACCATCGATGACACTGTAACCCTTTACCATAAATTAAGAGAAGATAGAGCTCACAGTTCAGGGGTTGAATGGTCCATGGAGGAGTCGCCGCATAATGAGAAAGTTCTACACTGGATTCCTCGTAGATGTGCACTGTTAGAAAGACCTAATCCACAGTGAAACAGTCATCAAGTGTTCCATGATTTTCAATGACTTGCTAACTGATGACGGTTCATGACAAGACCGAAACAATATCGTTGCATATTTGTTTCTTACCTCGGTAATATTTCGAGCAAAATTAATTACCTTGATTACACTAAACAATGGAGTTATAATAAATATTCCCGTAGCATTATGAATAGAAATATTAGCCAGTATAAGGGTCAATCTAATCTGACTGATAACAAAGCATGACAGACAGCCAGCACTTCTCTCTGTCATTTCCATATTCTTATTTGCATAACTGGTACTATGTTACTATGCCTACAACAGAGTTGATGAAAGCACACAATGATAAACACATAGTAATCTGTCGCATAGGACACTCCATAATATGATCAAGGCTCAAGGGAAAAAACCTTTAAGTGGTTAGTAGAAAAGTAAAGCAAGATGCTACATTCTACTGACTGACTGACTGACATAAGTACTTCAATTACAATCATATCAACTACTAGTGATTGACAGGCAGGCTGAAGTGATCTAAACACCAGATGGTCGTTTTACTTGTTCTAGGCCCAGCCCATCATCACAGATATAACCCGGTTTGACTCAATTCAAATCAACCGAATTCAGGCGTGAGATTTCATCTGGAACTGTGTCAATTGTAAATCGCAAGTGATCAACGATGCTAGCTACACTAATCCCTATTTGTCCTATGAGGAAAGACCTAATGAACATCAACTCTTTCGGGTTTTTATCACTAGCCGGGCTGTTAACTACGGAAACCAATGAAACTTTCTACATTTGACACAACGAAAAAGCATCCGAATTCACTACATGAATAATCATCCTTACAATACAATAACTGATTATCAAAGATGCAAAACACCTAAATCATTTCTCGAAAAGTCTTAATTACTATTGTCTTAATGACAGGAAATTCGTACGGCAGCTGAGTTGCTCGGACAACTGATTAAGGCGGAAAATAATTATTTTTGCACTCAGATTCAGTAACTCATTGAAAAACTTATAGATTTTGTAATCAAGATTACAAGAGCCCGTTGTGTTATAAATGCTTACACGACTGATTTGTGGTTCTGATAGAATTACTGACTTCCAATCTATAATTGACTGACTGGGTTTCAATGGGGAACTTTTCACAGAAGTGCTACATCCCACTATAACGGTCAACAATGTAAAGGGTAAAGAATACATACATGAAGAAACCTGAAGATTCAACGAATCCGGGAAATCGTAAACAATGGATATTTATTCCATTGAGAAGTCTCCCGTCATATCACCAACAGTCTCCAGCCATTGGTTCTAAGCATCATTACGACTCCGAATAGGCAGTCTACAGCCCCCCCTCTGCAATTGGTTGGCTCAAACCAACGGTCAAAGATTTCATGGACTGATTCCATGTTTTGATTTGACAACCCTCAGCTAACATTGGTCGACGAGAAAGGCGATGGTTCAGGATGCGTACAACGTTTCCTAATTATTTTTTCAAAATTTTATTATAGCTTGATTCCACACAGTATTTTGATACAAGTATGAAATTTTCAGCGTGTGATATCGGTAGCCCAAATTTAGCAGGCCGACCATAGATATCAGGTGTGCGTAGGCGGGGGATCGAACCTCGGACCATGTGCATGGTCCTAACAGCTGTGCCACCGACGCACATCCTAGACATCTGAGTCGATGCAGCCTCGCAACCTCATCAGTTGGCTTTCCGTCATCAACTAACAATTAACGCCTAACTTCAATATTATTATTTAATACACTAGAAATAGTCAAGAAAAAACAAAAAACACTAACTAGGATACCGAAAAGTTTGTCATTCGCAGAACATATTTTCAGTCTATTTTAAGTAATGAGTTTCCCAGAAATAATACAATAAATGAGTTAAAATGGAGTATGCTTAGCTGCCAGCTGTTGTGTAATATTACTATTAAGTAATCTGTGTCGGGTGGCACAACGGCAGAATGCTCGCCAGCCACGTATGTGGTCCAGGGTTCGATCCCCGGCCACAGACACACTCCTTTACCCCGCTAAGCCAGTAATAAGACTGATAAAGAGGGAAGGTAGGCCATGAGGCTAGCAGCTACCGAAACTAGCTTGAAGCCTTATATTCCACTGGGAATGTGAAGCAATAAAAAAAGAATCTACCGATACATTACATTTCGTTAACAAACAGAGTGCTAAAGCCTTGTTCAGAAAATATTCCTTTCAACCCTATGATATTAAATAAATCCACTGAATATTTAACAGAATAACAGATTTGAAGAAATGCAATCAGTTACAATGGGGATCCAGCCACCAACACTCCGTCAGTTTACCAAATTATCAACAAGACCAGTCTCACTTAGTTTACCAGCTCCCCAGTTTCCTAGCCGCTCCCAAGCCCAGGGAGAGAGGGTTGGGCATGAGGCTACAAAATTAATCAAACTGCTACAGACACTTCAACACACAAGAGAAATACTAACAATAATAATAACAATAAAATCAACAAAGTCAGGGTCACACAGAATTCAGTCTGACAAGTTATACAACTACCAAACTTAAATAATTTATGGACGCGTAAAACAGTTATAGCCTTAGTGTTCTGCCATAAATAAGCAGACAAGTGGAGAAGATTTAGGTGACCGTCACAGACAGTGAACGTACAACAACCTTGAGGTGACCAATGAGGACAAGCCATGTATTTTCCACAAAAATAGCCGTTTATTTACGAGATATATATATATATATATATATATATACATTGAAATGATTTCATCTATGTGGACAATGACCTCCTCTCCTGCCAATTATTTATTAACGAGAAAATACAGATAATGATCAAACACCTTAATCCCAACCCTAACTCCAAGCCTAATCCCTACCTTTACCCTAGCCCTCATTAATTCCTAACCCTAACATGCTATCAACGCATTATTTAAACAGCACTTAGAAAATAGATGAAATTTGCACTGCAATTCGTGCACAGAGTTGGTAGTGACACTGTAATAACGGTAGGTTCTGTAATCCAACGAACAGTATGCGTTGGTGTATTCGCCCTCCACTGTCACTATCCTTTAGGTTGGCCCACTGAGAAAACACTCATTTCACTAATCGTGAATGTAGTCTAAGTTTTGATTCAAGGATTTCCCACCAATCTCACTTACCTACTTTTAACAACTAGGGTTAAGGTTAGCAGTTAGATAAGGTTTAGGAGTCAGAGGTGGACTTAAGTTTGATGTTAAGGGTTGTATTAGGATTAGGGTCAGGCTTTACGGTAAAGCAGAATCGTCCGACTTAACAGATTAATCAATCAAATATACGATTTATCTACAAACTCAAGAGTTTTTTATAGTCCTCCATTCGGACTGTTTGTTTTAAGTCATTCGGTGGCTGGTATAATTTATCTTCATTAAGATTTGTAACTCAGGTGAGCACTTTTTGTATTGTTGGATTCTTACTGAAGTTAGAGATGAACGTGTTATCCCTAAGGATAATGGAAACCTCAGCAAAACTGCCTATCCCAGAGAAGACAACAATTCCAAAAGTCACAAATCGAGTGTAATATAATGTACAAAAACTAATCAATATTACTCTAATGAAGAGTAAAATAATATCAGCTTGTCAACACATGAACACTATACAGTCCCTTACACTAACTATTGGTAATTATTGAATAGTGACTGGCAAATAAAGACTTGACATACTTTTTGAAACAGAAGATTATGTTTAACAACAAAAAACATTCCTGCCGAGGTCATTTGAGATAGTCAACTACCTACGTGTTACCATTCCAATGAGTGACTTTCTGACATGATATATGTTAATGTTAATTAGAGAACCACTGGAAAACAGCAAGGAGTACTGGACAGCTGCTTCATTAACAGGAGTTAGAATTCATAGGCCACCGGATTCCGGTCCAGGTGGCTGATTGATCAGTCAACGACCTTACCGTCGTAACCTGAAAATCCTGAGTTCGACTCCTAGTAGTAGTCATGTGTGTACTACTGAAGAGCTCCAAACTAGGACGAAACAGCTATCTAGTAAGTACTTCCTGCCAGTCTTCAATAGTTCAAACATCAAACAATTCGAATCCCTACAAACTAACTCTTGTGAAAGAAAATAAATTTAAATATGGCCATCGAAACTAAACTGCTTAAAACACTTGACTTACCATGATACCGTTTAATTGATGAAATCATAGGTATTACCCCCAATCGAGTGTGTGTGCCAAAAACACAGCCGTCCTCTTTATCTGGTAGTGCTCGAGAGTAAGGTGAGAATGAAAATGACAGACGTGTTTTGCCTAACCACCAAAAATGATCACTTTGACCTTCAAAATTTGTCCGACTATGTAGACAACCAATAGCGTAAAATCAAAACAACATGTTGACTTTTGATCTGTCCTCTTAATTACAAAGATCTGTATTTTTCACACTAGATTTTTATTCATGAGTCATTCTTGCATAGTTGGATCATCCAATCAAATGCCCGGCACATGATTAGTATTTATATTACATAGTGAATAAAAGTGTAGTGTCTAAAATGCGGACATCATGTATTTTGTTGTGACCAATGTTAATGAGATCTAACAGTCTGATCTCAATTTCACATAGGGCATTAAAATGACCTTGTTTACATGTAGACGAGATAACGAATAGGAGAGATTTATGTATACTGACTTGATTTATGTGAATTCCCCTTACAAAAAGATGGAGTTTTAAGAGTGCATATTCTACAATACACTGAATACAACATGTATAGCTGTTAACATAGTTTTTTTGTAAGGATTAGTTTTGTTTTTACGAGTTGATCATGGATTTATATCAGTGGATCCTAATGAAATTTTGACCTTGCAGATTCATGTGTCTGAGTAGCAGAAAATAACATGATTCAGAGTAGTTCATAAACTTTGATGTAAAATTTCAGAAGATGTATAACAATATCTATGTAGGATAAAAAACTTCAAACGGCTTAGATGAAAAAAATTCGTAACCACCTTCAAGAAGTGGAATTTGTACTTCGCTGTTCATATCCAACAGAGAATTTAAATTTTCAAATTCTGTTTTCTATATTTTGAATTGATTTCTACTTAACTCACGAACTATCTTTAGTTAAGGAACTATTGAGAACCAGGGCGTACTAGATGGCTGTTTCGTCCCTTTTTGGACTCCTCAACATTACACATTTATAACCCTATCAAAGATATAATCCAAAACTTTCACGTCCCCAAAAGAGCCCATTGACTATTAAGCCATTGAGACGGCAACGAATGGCTCATAAATTCTAACTACTAAAGTTGCTTGGAAATTTCGTGAGAAGTCGTGATCAGTACGATCCAGCAGTTATCCAAATTGACAGAATTTATGGGTCACTGCATTTCAGGCCAATGGTTGATTGGTCAACAGGAGAACCTCGAAACTTGAAGATCCTGGGTTCGACCCTTGGCGGTGATTTTATGGGTGCATTCTATGAAGAGTTTTCAACTAGGACGAAACAGCTATTCAGTACTCCTTGATTCGCAATGGTTCTTAAACTAAATTCAAATATTCATCTAAACTGGGATCAAATTCAGATGTTATGGGATTAAAAAAGATCAAGAGTTACGGAAATATTAACATAAAAGTGATCGGTTTAATGATCAGGATAAATCTGATCTCGGAAATTAACACGTAATACTTTGTGTATAAATGCTAAAATGTTTTGTCTGAAATACCCAATACATTTACAAATGCTTGTCAACTGTCGACTAAGAGACATCTCAGAAAGACTATATTGAAACACTTGTATGCGTATGTGTATTATCAATTCAGTTACTCAATTTTGCAGAAGCATTGGTTGATTCCGAATCCGTTCTCCCTACCTATTACTCTTTCAGTAGTTCTGCTGTGAGACTAAGGAAATCGTAAGACGAGTCCTACGTCAAACCATTTGAAACATAAAAACAAGAACAGGTTACCGTTCACTGTGCCACTGATTTTATCAAATAATCATAACATCTTGAAATAATAGAGAAGATTTGTAGCTCAGGCGGACGATTTGCAATTAGTAGTGTTCTCTAAGCTGGTTGGCTTAGTTGCGGAGATTTCGTCGTCCTTCTGGACAACATCCTCCTTCAGCGCAATTTTTAGCATAAAGTGAACTGATTTAAATTTCTTCATGAGTGATAGAATCGCATCTCCCAGTAACCACCTTTACATCTGTATTGGTCGTTTTCTATTGACTTGGATTTTAAACTTTCTCGTCACATGATTTACTTTTTGTTAGTTGGTATATTTGGTCTGCATTAATTAACGTTTGTTAATTGCATATTCGTTTGATTACCAGGCTTCTAGGAATTCGCTGGCACTTTTGGTGTTTCCTCTGTCTAAAATTTCGACATTTTTCCCAACCAGCCAGCACAATCACTTCATTAGATATTGTGCAAACCGAAAGACCCATCCAACAGGAAAAGGAGATAAAATTAATGCCATTTACAAAATAAATTGTATGAACTGTAACAGATATTACATCGGTCAAAGTGGACGTCCCCTTCGAATCGGAACCCAGTAACACAAATCAGCTGTGAAAAGACATGATATATATTCTTTCATATCAATGTATATAGATAATTATGGACATCAGTTTGATTGGGATTATGTCGAAATTTTAGACAGAGGAAACACCAAAAGTGCCAGCGAATTCCTAGAAGCCTGGTAATCAAACGAATATGCAATTAACAAACGTTAATTAATGCAGACCAAATATACCAACTAACAAAAAGTAAATCATGTGACGAGAAAGTTTAAAATCCAAGTCAATAGAAAACGACCAATACAGATGTAAAGGTGGTTACTGGGAGATGCGATTCTATCACTCATGAAGAAATTTAAATCAGTTCACTTTATGCTAAAAATTGCGCTGAAGGAGGATGTTGTCCAGAAGGACGACGAAATCAGTAAAAAGTTTGAGCATTGTGGAATAGATCAAATAAAGTATAATTATATTTCAATAGTTTACACAATGATACGTTTTTTTATTGGTCATATGTACACGACACGTTAGTAATAATGAAAAAAAAACGAGGCTGAGAAATTCTTCTCAGTCATATCGACTCAATAAAATTCGCTATGGAAATGGAGAATGAAATTGGGGAAATGCCTATGTTAGACTGCAAAATACAAAGAGTAACAGATGGTAGCATAAAAACGACGCTATATAAAAAACTATACACTCTGGAAGATTCCTTGATTATCACTCAGCTCATCCACTCATGGTAAAACGAGGATTAATACAAGGTCTTGCAGATAGAATACGCAGACTTACAACAACACCAGAGGACCAGCGTGAAGAAATAAACGTCCTTTTCAAAATATTACTCGACAACAATTACCCAAAAGAGTTTATCAAAGATAATAAAAAAAAGGGTAAAACCGGAGAATAACAAGATGGAAGAATGCAAAACAACAGTCACAATACCATATAAAAATGGTACATCAGAGGCAATTCAAAGAAACCTCAAAAATATCGGCACTCACACAACTTTTAAACCGACAAATCTAATCAAAAATAAAATAAATCAACTGAAAGATCCCATAAAAGTGATGGATAAGAAACAATGTGATTTACAAAATATCGTGTGCTGACTGTCCGACTAAATATGTGGGGCAAACCTCCACATCACTCAAAATAAGAGTGAATGAACATAAACGCCTAACCAAAGGTCAACCAACAAGAACACAAGCCTACAAGAATCTTGAAAAAAATTCATCTATAGCTGCACATGCATGGGACAAAAACCACAATATCGATTGGAACAATATTTGTATTCTTAAAACTAACATGAACAAATGGAAAAAGAGACTTATAACAGAATCAATATTCATTAAGATTACACCGGATACATGGAACAATGGTGACTCAGCAGTACAACTATCAACAACCGGGAATATAATTCTGAATACACAAAAATGAATGAACAAACAAAAGAGCTATATATCTGAGTATAAATCATAAATGTGTGAATAAAACAATCGCGACAGTGGTGTGAACTATTGAAATATAATTATACTTTATTTAAAATGAAAAGACTTATTTAATTACTGTCTCACAGTCACTTCGTATTTTCATACCTAAAACATTTCTGATCACATAAAATTCGTGCAAAATAAGATACTGTCTAGCTTTTATACAAAGTCTTCCGAGTTTAATGTCTTTCTCGATTGCTTCTAGCCACACACGATAAGACTCAAGGAAAAAGTTGTGTATAGAGAGGATTCACAAAGTCTGACATGAAGATATTCGCCAGTCTATCGCATAAATTTAAGTATCTGATCACAACAGTATTAACGAGTTGATTTAGTGACACCTCAATCGTCAACTGACAGTTTTAGCCCTCTTCCAAACATAACAAAGTGTTTCCTAAATATCAGTTAGAGAACCATTGAAAACCAGGGAGTACTGGACAGCTGCTGTTTCAACCTAGTTTGGGAATCATTGACAGTACGCACCCACTGGGATTCGAACCCAGGACTTTCCGGTTACAAGGCAAGCTCGTATACTGTTCAGCCACTGGGACCCGATTCAATGGCTTGCCTTGTAACCGGAAGGTCCTGGGTTCGAATCCCAGTGGGTGCGTACTGCCGATGATTCCCAAACTAGGTTGAAACAGCAACTGTCCAGTACTCCCTGGTTTTCAATGGTTCTCTAACTGATATCAATCCATGATCAACTCGTAAAACATAACTAATCCTTACAAACCAAACTAAAGAAAGTTTCTTAAATAGTTCAGGAAAGATTCAGCTGAGTGAAACAGTAAAGAAGAATATGTAGAATACAAGAATTAAAAAACTGTAAAATTAGAGACTACTGGGTGATACCAGATTCTCTTAACTTCCCCCCTACCTAGAAGGTTAGACAAAATATCCACCTAGGCATTAACATGATGTACACAGATCAAGAAGCATCACATGGAAGATATAATCCAAGGTAGGTATTCAACATTCAACTTAGTTTCAAACTTACTGCCTTATATGATGCAAAAGTCATGGGCAGTAGGCAGCAGTTCATGTAAATCACATTTGTGTCTGTGAATGTGAAATTGACAATCTGACATCTGGATGGATTTAACAAAAGACTACTGATTAATTTCTGATAAAAATTTATTCAATCTAAAACAATCTAGACTATCATGCAAAATAATAACACGTTATTCCTCAGGCATTATCTAAGCGTCTGTAATACGTAGGAACCAATATGTCGTTCGATAGAGACTGAGCATTT